AAAAAAAGTACTTACAAAAACATGTACCATTTTAAAAATTAACAATAGAAATAAGGTTCTATATTACGACTATTAATAAAAATGAGAGGGGTTGCTTCAAAAAAGAATTGTTGTTTTCCAGAGTGGAGCCAAAATATTCTAATGTTTTTTATTTAAACACTAAAACTCTTTTTTATTATCCTATAAATTTTTTTCTAATTACAAAAGACATATACACTCAGTATAAAAATTTTGGAAAGAAAAAGGAACAAAGTCATCAAATTGGTACTAATTGATCAACACTAGGGTGATCATATGGCAGAAATACTCTCTAGGGATTAGGGGGATGGGGGGCAAATTACAACTAAAGGACACGGAGATCACTAAAGGGAGGGAAGGGCATGCCTTTAACCCGCATTTGGGTGAGGCAAAGACATAAAATGTAACTATAATGTTTGTACCCTCACAATACCCTGGAATAATAATAAAAAAAAGGAACAAAGAAAAACAATAATTCATATAGATAAATAGTATGGTCCACCCCAAGAAGCTTCTTATTATGTAATATGCTAAACACACAAGAGTATAAAACTTTGCTTCCCTACTTTTACTTTCAGAGGTCATTTTCAGAAATACTACTCGATTTTTTCCCAACCCAGATAATGTTGATCCTTTCCTATTAACCAAAGTGATTAAAGTATATATTGCCAACTACACCTTAAAATCGAAACAATCTGTAACACAAATGGCCTTCAAATCTACTTCTGCCATGGTTTCTGAATCCTTCCACTTATAACCTAGACCACGGATAATTTAAAGTTTCACATATTGTCCCATAACCTCAAATCTAGAGCCTGTCAGACTTTATTTGCGACAGGAAAGTCGGTGAAAGAAAAGATTCATTCAACACTTCTTTCAGCCTCAATCCTGGCACTGCTGCTGCTTCTTAAAAGAAACTGCATTTCATCCCCCAGTGTCCTCAGTAAGTTATCCTCATTGTACACTGGGTCCTTATCGTTTTCCTAACAAAGCCACCTGCAATGAGATATGGAGGTACAGAGTGGATTCTCTCCACCCTCTCTAAGTAGGTACCAGACTGTTGAATTAGGGAACTTCTTAGAAAAATAAGTCAGGCCTGTGTCCAGTCACTGTTCAAATGCAGTACATAAGCATCTTATTTGTGGCTGTCTTTTACATTAATCGCCGTGAACATTTTGAGGATCTCTGTGTACCTATTGCGTGCTAGGCACCGTGTTAGCGGCTTCACCTGCATCCTACTAATCTCTGTGGCAAGCCTATGAGGCATTATTTTTCTCCTTTTACATTTACCAAACCTCAAGCGAGGCTAAGTGTCTTGCACAAAGTGTCACAGTTGGAAATGCCGTCCCAGCCAGGTGTGTCTGACCCAGAGTCCCATCAGCTCATGCTGTGGACACGACCTATATTTCCAGTTTGCATCAGAAATGTATGAGGTTGTTACTGCGTCTCGTTTGTTCTCCAGGTATCTCTAGAAATCACTAGCCCAGGCGGGTCCTGCTGCCAGGGAGGAGTGAGTGATGCCATGGGCTTTCGGCAGTAGGCAGGGAACTGCAGGGCAGATGCACACGGTGGTGATGACGACGATGCCTTCCTCACAGTACTCTGTGGCAGGCCCTTAACAAACCTTCCCTTCCGTCATCCCTACAATCTTGTTATTACAACCAAGCCTCTGAGGAATTCAGCCACTGCTCACCGCCACCCGGCTGACCTACGGGGCTCGAACCCGCGCCTCCCGGACTCCGGACGGCCTCCCGGTCAGTGCCCTGGGTGCTCCGCTCGCCCCTCCCGGGGGAGGGCCCGTCCGGGTCAGCTCTCCGCGATGCCACCCGCCCCTTTGCCCACGGCTCCCAGGCAGCCCGCCGCGGCTCCAGGAATCCCCCAGGCCGGAGCGCCCCGCCGTCGCTGGGACCCCGGCGGCGGCCGCGACAGCCCCACTTACGCCAATCGCGGGGCAGGGCGCCCGCGGCCCGCAGTGCCGCAGCCATGTTGGCGCCGACTGAAAGCATTCCCGGGGCAGCCGCGGCCCGAGTCCCCGGCTCCTCCCGCGGCGGCGCGCTCAGAGTTCCGCGCAGCCAACGCAGAGCCGGGAGCGCTCCCCGCCGCGTCCCCTGCCGCCCGATATCGCGCGGCCCGCCCCCGTCCCGGCGCGCCCGCTCATTCGCTGCCCCCAGGCAGGGGCGGGGCTCGGAGCCCCGGGGCGGGGCCAGGCGGAGGAGACACGCCCCTCGCGAGAGCCCGCCCGGGCTCTGGGCCGCCCCCGCGTGAGAAAGAGTCGCAGGCTGAGCTGGGGACCTCCTCCATACCACCTCCGCCGGCCGGTGCGAGCACTGCCGGATTCCTGGTTGCGCTGGACGGATGCCCAGGTTGCTCCTGCCAACCTGCCCAAGGCAGGAACCGCAGCCATGACTTAGCAAAGAACTTTCTAGACGTTTCATTTACTATTAGTTAGATATAAGGATGCTTTTGCCTCAGTTCTCCAGTTTGCTTGCCGAGTCACAGCGCAAGTGTGCAGACCCTGTTTTGTTTTGCTTTGCTTTCAGAACAGAAAAAGACATTATCTTATGTTAGACGCTTATGTCATTAATTCAGTTTCTCTGCAGTATCTGTATGTATTAATAGCAAAGTTTGAGAGGTGAGACCCGAAAGCAAACCTACTTTCAACATGAGCGCCCTGGGAAAAGCGAAGTCCAGCCTGGCTAGGGCACGTCTTGGCGGGGTGTTATGGTGCGGAGTCAGCATCACATCCGCTCCCTTGCCCAATTTAGCCTCCTGTCCCGCCCCCAATGTCGTACACAGGGACAGCGGGAAGGCCCGTCCCCCTCATTTCTAGCCACGCCTGCATTCCTACACCCCCGCCAGCCCACGCTGCCGTATATGTTCACTGCATCGTGGAATACAAGACCAGCGCTCGGTACAGAAAGGTCTCAGGCATCATCCGTTCATGGAACAAGTATCGAGCACCTACTATGTGCACTAGGAAAACAGCCGTGAACGTGGGCTAACGTGAGGGTTAGGAGAGACACAGTAAATAATCACTACATGTAGTATTTTGGATGATGAACGTTAGAAAGAAGAATGAAGCCAAGTAAGGGAGTGGGGTAAGGGAGGGGCTAATGCAATTTGGATCAGAGACGTCTTCACAGACATTTAGGCAGAAGCATGAAGGGAGTGAGGGCCAAGCCCTGTGGAACATTCCAGGAAGATGGAGTCTAGGTTGAGTTGAAAACCAGTTTTCCGTAGCTAAAATGTGCGCTATTGATTGGCTTGGTTTATTTACTAAAGTTAGTCCTCCTTATGGTTGGTTATAAGCGCAGTGTAAAATGTCAGATTAAATAGATTGCCTTTCTTGTTATCTACATGAGATTCAAATCCAAGCAGGAGATGTTCCCTGAAAAAAGGGCAGTAAAACCTGCTCCAGGCATCGAACTGCCTTCCTGTACATTTGGCTAATTTTCTACCCTCATAACCAAAATTATATTTGTTTTAAGTTGCCCTTTAAAGAAGTGATCCTTGTGGGTAGTATACTTCTCTACCTACAGCCTGAGCCCATTTCTTCTAAAGAAACTACATAAATAGGCTACACGTCTTGAAACGCTATGCTGGAAGAAGTGTGGACAAGGCTAGAGAATAAGAAAATGCCAGGGGTTTTAGGTGTTTGAGCCCCTGTGGGAGGCCCCTGATAAGTCCCCCCCTCCATCCTGGGTGCTGGCCCCTCCTGCTAGGTGGAGATAACGGGGGCTCTGGCCTCTCCCAGGGAAGCTCTCGTGATTAGTGACAAGGCATAAAGGTGCCACATCTCACCAGTACAAAATCAACAGTTGGGACGGGATAAATTTGCATCTGTGCAGAAAAACATGCTTTATTAAATATCTCAACATAATTTTTTAAAAATTAATTAACACCATTCATTTTATTCACATCTTGTACTTTCATTTTTACTGACTTAAACATTCATTCAAAATTCCTTGTGTATAAAACCTCCTGATGCACATATTAAGGACTCATAGGTTATAACTGAAAACAGAATTTCACCATTTTTCCCCAACAGAGAGTAGCATAACAATTGTTATTCCTGATCTATGGCTCATTTCATACAAATGTCAAATATAACAGCTTTCCAATGAGTAAATGTTTATGTTCTTATAAGATGAAAGCAGATAAAATGTGCTTTATATTGGTCCTTTTCAAAATTGGTAGAAAACACTGTCCTTAACCAGAAATTGTGAACTCTAAACACAGGCTTACCATCAAAGCCCTTGAAAGGCTAAAGAAATTTGCAGAACCACATGAGATTTATTTATATATATTAGTGCATTTTTTTCCCTGGCTTACATATTTTTAACAAAATTATATACCAATTCCGTTAGCAAACAAAAGGCTGAAAAGGCACAGTCTCTGGGCTGACCCAGATAAGCGGCACCCCCAGCACATGGGAGAGGGTTTGTCTGAGGCCTGGTGACTTAATTAGTGAATAAAGCACTCACCTGTCACAGACGAACACTCCGAGTTCAGTCTGTGGTCCTACATAAAATGAATTTGTTGGTTTCAGCTCAATGCTTCAGGGAAGGGGGGGAATCCCCTAATTCATTATTTGCCATGATTGGCACCTCTGAGCTACACAAACTAAATTTAGATTATTCAACTCTGATTCCTTAATCAGAAAAAGAACGAAAGGAAGGGGGGGACGTGAGGGGAGACTCTGGGAGAAAAACAGTGGCTGTCTGTGACAAACGGTAAAGCATAATGATTACTCGGAGAAATCCAATCGATCGTCCCCACAATCGTTTTACAACAAAGAGGCCACCAACTCCAGGCCAACATGACATGCATTTTGACTCACCCTTCTTAAGCAAACAGAGCCTTCGGCCCACTGGTGGTGACAGGTTTATTAATCCGTCTGTACATATTTACTGACTGTCTACCATGAGCAAAGTGTTATATCAGGTAATGTGGAGGATAAAAGAGTGAAATAGAAAAATGCAAACCACACTCTCAAGTGCTTCATTCATTCAAGAAACAAACGTGTATGGAATCCACTCTATGTCGGTCATGCAGCGGGCACCGGGCAGTCAGCAATGAATTGGGCAGTCTATACTCTCATGGAGCTTACCTTCTAGAAGGCGAGGCAGATGATCATTTTATGACAAAGATAAAAGATATACAACATGATGTCAGGGATGGCTAGGGACATGGGAAGAATAAAGGCGATGGAGGAATGGAGAGGGGCGGGAACTGCTCGTTTGATAGTGCAGCCAGACCCACCTCTCTGCACATGTGGCATTTGAGTGGGGACCTCGGGCGGATGAGGGAGGTTGTCTGGGGAAGGGTTTTTCAAGCAGAGTGACCAGCAAGTACTGGAACACATTTGAGGCTTGTCTTTGTTTCCTAGGGATACTGTAACAAAGTATTATGCCACAAACTAGGCACTGAAGTTTGTCGTCTTCCAGTTCTAAAACTACAAACCCCACATCACAGTGTCAGCGGGGCCACGCTCCCTCTGATACCTGTTGCCTCTTCTGGCTTCTGCTGGTGGCCAGCAATCCTTGGTGTTCCTTGGCTTCCATCACCCCAGCCTCTGCCTCCACCATCGCATGCCTTCCTCCTCTCTAATAAGGACGCCCCAATAGCCTTATCTTAACCATCTACAATGACTCTATTTCCAAATTAGTCACATTTACAGGTACCCAGAGGTTATAGTATGTCAACATATCTTTTGGGGGGGACACAATTCAACCCCTAAACAAGGCTAATGAGAAACAGCAAGGAGGCCATGTGGCTTCAGCAGAGTAGGGGAAACTGGGGCTGACTGATGTAGGACTTTGTAGGTAACGGAAGGCTGCATCTTCCCAGTGATCTCCATGCAGCAGAGTGATGCGCTCTTCTGTTTCAGAAGCTTCACTTTGC